CCGCCACAAAGAGACACGCAAGTGCCAACTTCTATTGCAAACAATTTTTTTGAATTTACATTAATTCTCGTATTCATTAAGAATTTCCGATCAGGTGATATTATTTGACAGACAATTGTTTGCAATAGAAGTTGGCACTTGCGTGTCTCTTTGTGACGGTTCGTCATCGTATTTGGAACTTGATATAGCGTGATAATGATTACAATCGGGGTGGATTGATTAGAGTAATAAAATGATTCCACACAACAAAATAAAAGAAGAATACTGGACGGTCTACTGTTAATTCTGTCAAAAATCATGTTTTTGTATTATATTGCAAAATGTTATATTGTTAAATGCGGATACCGAGGCGAATAATGCACAATAAGAAGCGAGAAATTATTACTGACTAACATTAGGAATAAATTTAAATTATATAACTAGGTTTAAATAAATTTAGGTTTTTATTATTGTACTGAGGATGGTCAGATGGTGACCGAAACGTCTACTTTGTTGAATGTTTATTATTAATATATAACTTATTGACATCTCGAGTGTGGCTGTATGCTCCTTTTTTACTTAACCTTCTTAACATTGAGCCACTTTATAATATTGAAAATTTTTTTTAAATTAAAAATTGTTCTACCTCTTTTAATGTTAATATTTTTTTTCTATAAAGTCTTAAACATTAGAGTTCAATGATTTTATGATAAGAGACTCTATAATAAAAGTCACATCATAGTCACATGATAGTCAGTTTTTATTGATTCGCTAGGTTTTGTGAATTATTATATTTGAATCACACTAATTTTGAATCACTTTAATTTTCATAAATGTTATATTTCAGCAACATAAACATGAAATGAGCCTTAGAAAAATGATTGTAGAATAGTTACTGCACATCCACCCATTTCCTAAATTTTTACGTTTATCTTTGTAACAAATATCTAGTCAATGTAGTCATGAACATACATGAACAGTCGTTTTAGAAGTTAAAGAAAATTAGATAAAGGTTAAAGAAAGAAAAATAATGCAAACATATACCCTTCTTTCTTGCAAGATTCTACAAAAACACTTTATGATGTGACTCTTATTATATATAAGTAACTTACATGTAAATATAAAATTAAATTTACCTAATAATATATATTTATAAATGATTACTTTAAAGTAATCTCATTATTACTATATATAGAAAAACTAGAACATTCTGATCTCAAAAATAATTTTTTTTAAATTAACTTTTTTAAACTTAAGCTAATTCAATCTTAACTTAATGTTTACTAAGTTAATTCTTTATTCCTTCAATTTTTAACTTAATTTTATTAATTTTATAAGCCATTAACTTTAACTTAATTTAGTTTTTAAAAAATATTAACTTACCCAACCCTGCTTATATGTCATCCGTTATATAAATCTGTGTTCCCCGCTTTAGGCTGTAAAGTATGGCTGCAAAGTAATTGCATCTCTTTATCAAGTATTTAATCAGTAATTATTCAGTTTAGCATTCGTAGCTCAAAAATCAATGAAATTAGCCTTATTCGATGCGTTTTTACATGAAACGAAAGAATTTGGTAAAAAAAGCGTTGCTCTGCTCTGTGATCCGAGATATTGTGTGTTAAAGTTGATGACTATTGAGATTAGAAAATCTGTCACACTGACTTAATATAGTGCTATGTATTTTGTATACACAATATTCATTCAGAATCGCTACTTCACTTTCAATTTTAATGAAATAAGGCTCATTCGACGCGTTTTCATTGAAAATAAAAGTCTGCTCTATTTTTAATATGTAGAACAAGTGTAAATTCGGGTGGAGGGCAGAGTATTTTAAATAATTACCATTCACTGCTTCAAAAACACAAATTCATTGCATTAGAATTCAATTTGTGTTTTTTACAACAGTGAACATATATTTGCAAAAGGTTCAAGAGCAGGCTTTCGTTTTCAGTGAAAACGCATCGAATGAGCCTTATTTCATTAAAATCGGAAGTGAAGTAGCGATTCTAAATAAATATTAACCAAAATACGTATACATAGCTCTATAATAACTCAATGTGACAGATTCCCTAATCTTAATAGTTGTCAACTTTAATGCTTAATATCTTGAATCACAGGGCAGAGTGACACTTTTTTTGCCAGATTCTTTTGTTTCATGCAAAAACGCGTTAAATAAGTCTAATTTCATTGATTTTTGAGCTACGGATGCTAAACTGAATAATTACCATTTAATCTTTATAGTATTGTGTTTCAGGATTCTATATTTTTTTTACAAAAAATATCACAAATTATATTGTGGAAACCGAAGGATAATTTTCGGATCTCTTTCGTGTTTCACTAAAAATTTCACATGGATTCGAAATAATACAGCACCAGGACATAAACCTGAAACGCAATATTATGAATATTAGACATTTGATAAAGAGATGCAATCGCTTTGCATTTTGCTCAACATGTTTCGTTTGTGATTCAGCATACTTTTGCTTTGCTGGAAATCATGTCAAGTGCTGAACAAACATGTTCAAAAGTTGAGTGTATCTAGAACCGTTCAGCAGACAATCATAAAATTTGCAAAGGTTGCAAAACTGTTGCATTTCATTGAACACACCCTATATTAATCCATCATTATTAACAATATATGATCAGTAATATTGTTAGTATTTGGTAATACTGACAGTATTACTGTTATCGTGTTACCTTAAGATATTACAGGTATTCACTTTAAGAAAATTTTTTTGATCTTTGTAGCTAAAATTACAAAATATATAAAATTTTTATAGATATGATTTTTTTAAGATCACCCCTTCCTCCATCCTGATTCCAGTACTTGTGCAAAACTAGATATATGTATAAATATAATAAATATGTTCAATATATACCTTATCTTGCAGAAGGGTCTTGCTTTAATCTTTTTGTTATTCATTATTTTTAGTATATTGTACACTAATTTAATAAAGCAAAGTTTTAAGGTATATGTGCATGTGAATCATGCACACATGATCCTCAGTGCATATGTTTATGTTGATATGATAGCTTTCATAGTCATGATAATAGTAAACTTCTACAATTAATATCTCGCTTTGCGGGGCAAAGCGACTTTTTTGCCATTTTTTTCGTTTTGTGCGAAAACATGTTAAATGAGTCTAACTTCATCAATATTGGAGAAGAGTGGGCTAAACAAAACATTTACCTTAAATCCTTGTTTTCGTACAAAATGGAATCGAATCAGTATCTCTATTACAATTTAAAGTAGAAAGATTATAGAGTAAACATTTACATTTATTCATTTTATAAAGTAATTTTGTATAAAGTATTCAAACATACGTTAACGTTATTCTCCGGCAATTCAATAAAGGAATCATCGCTCTCAATTTCATGACAATAATCATCCACGTTAAAATCTATATCCTTGTCGTCTTGTTTATCAGACATTTCGATGTCACTTGAATCACTTGCTTCGCTCATCATACTATTTCTTTAACTTTAAGTTTACAAATCACGATCTTCAGTAGTTCTTTGGAGAACTATTCCACGTTAGACTGCGTTCAGGAATTACTCCTAGAACTCTGCACTCTGGCTGGAGTGCTCTAGAGTCCCTAGAAAAACAAGGAGCTTTTCAACAAGAGACATTGGGTGTTTTCCAACAACGTACATACATATATACATAGGGTGCATCCAGAAGCATGACTGCTCACTGAGCGCTCAGTAAACTCTTGCATCTGATTGATATATTCTATTAGAACTAAAAATATAAACCAAACAAATACAAAAGCTCACTGAGCGCTCAGTGAGCAGTCGTGCTTCTGGATGCACCCATACATACATATAGCTGATCACAGAAAGATTGCAACACTTTTTCTTCAATGGGTTTCGGAACGCAGCTTGCTGTCCGAGCGATTCTTAAGGTATTGTCCCATGAGCGGAAATTTACAGCGGAACGGAACAGCGACACCAATCACAATCGTAGAAAAGATTAAAGAGTAATGACTGCGGAGTTGTGATTGGTCGCGCTGTTCCGCTATTAAATTTCCGTTCATAGGCATCCTTTTACTTGGCTGTGTTCAAATTTCTCAGAAAAGTGCCGGAGTGATTTGGGAATCTGAACACACTAATAACGTTTTTCACTGGGTAAACTGGTGCAGCACTAGCGCCGTGCTAGGTTTAGATGAAAACTGCACTAGTATAGTAATACAGGATTATGGTTCAATATCATTAGACATCCATTTTATAGACATCCATTTCATAACACCCCTCAAAATATGTATATAACTATGTTCAAACTTAAATTACTTATTTTACAGTATTCTAATTCATTTATTTATTAAAAACATTTTTTTAAATTAAATTTTTACATTTCAAGAGTTTTAGGGCCATTCTACACAAACTAGCAAAGCCGCATAAACATATGCATAAAGAAAATCATCCAATTGTATTTTACGTTTGCCTTTATGACAGAAATGATTGGATAATTTTCTTTATGCATATATGTTCGTTATGCGGCTATGCAAGTTTGTGTGGAATGACTCTTAAACGTCAGAATGTTATTGCATAGCTATTATTAGAAACAATGAAACTAAACAATGTCATTGTTATAACATTAATTACAATAATGTAATATATTGTAACATATCATATCTTAGCATGAACACAACCTCAATTTCAACTTGTACAGGTTTCCGCTGACTTCAAAGATAGTGGAGCAAAAGTTGAACTCAATGCAAGTTTTTTGCACCAGTTTTATCAATGGGACATTAAACATTGATCTTTTCTTAGTGGAACAACACAATTGCACTCAGTGCGCACCAGTGTGTTGCAGTTTTTCCAATGGAAAACGCTATAAGTGTCCTACATGCATCGGTTACAGCAAATAGTAGCGTAAATATATTAGATTTAATGTAAATTACAGATATAATCATATATACAAATATAATTACTATATTATATAACTAAAATATATACAATAATGATATATATGGTAAAAGATATAAGATAAATCTTATCAATATCTTAAATCCTGTAAAACTTAATAGATTATTAAATACTTAACCTTCTTTGAGTTATGATTTATACTACACACATAAGCATAATCTGAAATTTAAATTTTCGTATAGATGCACGTCAAACTTGTTGGGATAGCACAGGAAGTCTTTAATGTGTCACTATCACCCATTTCATCCAGCTCAAGAAACCGGGTGATTTTCCATCCTCCCAGGTAGAGTAGGAATCTGAACGATTCCTGGGTCCCTGTTCTGTTTTACGCCTACCGACAGTTGTCAGTGTCGTTGCGCAGCTTTTTCACTATATAAAATATCTGCGCAACAACACCGATAATTATCGGTAGATGTGTAAAGACAGTTACAGAATAGGCCTGGGTATCTAGGTGCACTTGAGTGAGGAATCTGAACGCAGTCCTTAGGGTATATCCACACAACTTGCATAGCTGCATAAACGTATATATAAAAAAAATTATCACATTTTATGTGCGACTTTATAAGAGAAAGTTTGTGATATACTCTTACGAATAAATAAGGGTGAGATCAGACGATGCGAAAAATGACTGCGGAATAGAGAATGCGTCATAGAAGCACCCAATCAGCGCTATTCGAAATAACGCAGAATAATATTGATTGGTTGCTTCTATGACGCATTCTCTATTCCACAGACGTTTTCCGCATCGTGTGATTTCATCCTAAGAACCAATCGCTCGATGAGCAGACTGCATTCCAAAACCTATTAAAAAAAGTGTTAACTTAACTTTTTAGTCGATAAGTGTACGATGCGTTGCACGAATGCTTGGGGTTCGATTTTAGAAGTCTATTTCGTTCTTAGTTACTTTTACGTTCATGACTGATACGACCGGATGTTGCATCAGCGATCATGAATATATCGTAGGTTAGTAAATTGTGTTTTGATAGCCAACCAACGTAACTTGTTTTGATCAGTGAAATTTCTGAAATATTCCAAAACTTAATTGAAAGAAGTCGGAGATCAAAGCCTTTAATATATCAGATAAGTTGTAGTTTTGAAGAAGTATAATTGTTTTTATATTTGCTAATAAGAAAATATATTTTATGGCTCGTTTTTACACAGGTAATAAAATATAAGCGAAAGGATAATTAATAACGCAGTGTTTGTGACAAGAAGTGGTTTATTGGAGACATGCACAGAAAAATAATCCCAGACGTCTAATCATAAAATATTAGGGCACTATGTTAAGAATGAGGTTAGTAGAATTAAATTGATGCTTAGAGTAAATCATAAGTCGACGTAGGTTTTTTTTATTGCTGAATAAAGATTTATATAATTTATACATATTATTATATATGTTTCAGATCAGATATAAGTTACTGTAAAAATATTAAAAACATAAAATGTTTATATTTTTGTTCCAATCGCCTGACAATGTCAATACCTTAATCGCGAAAGTAGAGACAGCAGTAGAGTGTATCGACATTTTGGAAACAGTCATGCTTGCCAATGCGTGAGTGAGATTTCCAGCAGACCAACATCCAACCATTACGTTTGTACAGGACAGCAGCGTTGTTCACAATACCCACGTGACACGAAATTGATTCAATGATCATCCCGAGGTAGAAAAAATAAAAAAATTGGTCTTGCAAGTCTCTTTAAACCCCATTGAAAATTTAGGGAATTATGATCAGGGAATGGGGGGGGGGGAGATCTGGAAAGCATAGAACTCGAGATGCATTAATCCAATACATAAACAACATATGAAACAGGCTTCGCGACCGACCTGAAATATGCCAGCACCTAGCTCAGTCAATGAGGATCAGATTACAATGGGTGATTGACAACAATAGCTATTAATTACTAATTGTTATATATGTTATATATATTAAATATATAATGTGTTATGTGTTATATGTATTATGTTTATTTATGTAAATAAAAATATTATGTGTTATATTATATTTATTATATATCATGTTATATTATATAAAATTGATTAATATTTTAAATATATCTGTTCAGCGACTTGTATCTCCAATGTCTGTTCTGAAACATGTAATAATATGTATAAATTATAAAAATCTTTATTCAGCAATAAGAAAAACTTACGTCGACTTATGATTTATTCCCCTAAGGATCAATTTTATTCAAGAAGGCATCAATTTAATTCCAAAATTTACTGCTAGTGCTAAAAATGTATAAAGATAGTTCTATATTAAGATGCATTTATGCGAGCTGCTCAAATTGACCGTTTCAGCGACAAATAAGATCACATGATGACTTTTATCGCAAAACTATTATAATTTTATACATAAAAAAAGCAAGAAGCATTAAATTTGACATTTGAGCGACAGATTCGATATATTGTTTGTATTTTCCATGTGTCATTTGCAATATTAATACGCTGAATTAAACAGTTATTAGATTATTCTGATTGCATTGAATTTTTTATCTGAATCAATAAATAACAAATCAAAGGACTCTTTTTATACAAACCAAATAATAATAAGTAACGGGCAAAGTAAGAGTCAACACGTTTCTTTGAAATTAACAAAAGAATATATTTCAATTAACAAAGGTAAAATTACATAACGTTACAAGTTTCGGCTACCGGATTGAGCCCTCTTCAGACATTAACATAACGAAAAAATCGCAGAACAAAATCAATTATCGCAAATGATCGCATATTCATAACATTCACAGTTCGGGTGAGTCTTGATGTAGAATTTGACATTATTTCCATAAATTATTTACTGTTGACTCTTACTTTGCCCGTTACTTATTATTTGGTTTGAATCAATAAAGAAAAAGAATAAATTAGGTTATGTATATTGCAGTCAACGGTGGTCAACATGGACGACACGGGTATCAGCACTGTCAATATAGCGTTTAAGCGGTTGACGTTTGTAGTTAAAACTGTTCAAACTACAAAACTTCAGCCGCTGGATAACGAACAATAAATCTGTCGCTCTAATTGTTTATTTTAGCAGCACGTGAAAATGTACAACAGGTCACAGAAAAGTTGCAATACCTTTTTTTCGATAATTTTCGGAATGTAGTTTGCTTACCGAGCGATTGGTTCTTATTTATAAATCCACAAATAAGAACCAATCGCTCGTAAGTAGATTACTCTATTATCCGAAATCCATTGAAAAAAAAATGTTGCAACTTTTGTGTAACCGGCTGTACCTTTAGTCGCATCGCAAGCGTTGCGGTCCAATAAACATCAAGCTAGTTCGACTCTGATTGTAACGTTTGCGACACGTTTGCGATGCTGTGATACGATTAATGTAGAACCAGCCTAATATACGTAAAGCCGGTTCTACATTAGTTGCAAGCTAATCGCAAATTTATTGTGACAGCCAATATGAAGCATTGATTTCAAAATGCACGCTTCAGATTGGCTGTCGCAACAAACTTGCAATCGGCTTGCAACTAATGTAGAATCGGCTTAACGTAAACTATAGATTTTCAGCGCTGGTAGTAAATTTTAAAGCACAGCTACAATGTAACATTGAGGTGCATTCCAAAACTTGACTTTGTCAACTCCAACTATCTTTTATCTTTATTCAACATTCGGTGACCAACAAGAAGTCTGTTGGTGCGTTGCTTTCACTTTTTGTCATTCCACATTTTCGCTTTTTCTCTTTTCAAAGCCAAATATATATCTATTTCATTTTAAGTGTAAAAATATTTAGAGATTTCATGTAACGCAAACAGGACCAAAGAATAAAATGATACTCAAGTTGACAGAGTTGAATTTTGGAACTTGGGTGTGTTTCGTTTCACGCATGATGGGTGCAATCGTTTATGCAGTGGATAGCGCATCCTTTGCTTTCTGCTGGTCACATGATCTAAATTTACCGAATGGATCTCTGCATGAATAGCTGTTCATATACCGTATTGAATTGTATCTTCCAATAGAAAATTTGGAAAAGTTGAGCCGATTGAAAATTAAGGCCCAGAGGCCATATTCTAGAACAAATATCGCATATAGAAATAGCAATATATAATAGCCACATATAATCAATCAATCACAATCGAGAAATTGTCATTTTCGTATGCAAAAATTATATATATGTGCTAAAAAATAGGACACGAATTTCACAACTCATGATTAACTCTTAGCTGAGATTCAACTTATTTCAACTTATTTCATCTCTTTCTAATGCTAGAATTGAAAAGAGATGAAAAATAAGTTGAACCTCGGTTAAGAATTAACTGTGAGTTGTAAAATTAGGCCTAAATAAAATCCGAAAATATTACATAAACCCCAAAATATTATAAAATTTATTTATAAAAAATTTATAATTCTTATATATGTGTCGATATTTTCAATCTACATTCAAAAGGTGTGATTTTTAGGTTAATTTAAATACAAATTAGCAAATTTCACACCTTTTTTATTATATATCTGTGAAAAATGTACAAATACTCATCAGAGCCTACATCAGCTATTCGGATGCAGCGAAAATTCTTCTTTATTTTCGTATGAATGTAACAAAACGAATAAAACGAATATACGTTTCGACTTTTTAATTCGGATCCTTATCAATATAACATATAAATCAAAATTACATAAATAACGCAAATTCCAAGTTGATGACAATTTAGTCCCGACAATTTAGTTCGTTCTTTTTTATCCAAATGCCAAATTAGCTATGTAATGAATGATTATCAGAAATAGTTTAACTTATACAATAATATTATAAAAACTTATATAAAGTAAAACCGAAGTCATATACATTGCGTCACTAAGTAGAATCACATCGCTCATCAGATTGTCAGATTTGCTGTGTAGTCATTCAAAAGAATCACGAAAACGAAAAGTTAGAAAATTATTAAAATCATTTGTCTTCTAATCTTGTTGCGCCTTTTGTATATGGTTTCCGAAAATACAAAGTAGATTATCTACTTGGTATCATAGTTTCTTCAGTGGGGAGCCCTCTCTATAATCTAGCCTCCTTTTTAAATGACATATTACACGACAGTATACCAGTAGCAAACACTTTTATCAAGAACAGTTTTCATTTGACTAAACACATTTCTAATTTGACAATCTCTGACAACAAAGTTCTTTTATCTCTTAACGTGGTTTCGTTGTTCACAAATGTACCTATTGACTTGGTTTTTGAAGGCATAGAGAGGAGATGGTATCTCATTGAAAGAAAAACGAACATTTCCACAAAAGGAAATTTTTTAAAGCGTTGGAATTAGTTTTTAATTCAACAATTTTTTGTTTCAATGACAAATTTTATAAATAGACTTTTGGTGTTCCGATGGATTCACCCATTGTGTCGGATATTGTTATGTAAGATCTTAAAATTAAAGCACTACAGAGATTTCCAATTACATCATTCTTTTATGTGAGGTATGTTGATGATATTGCGTTAGCATATGATACATTGATACTCTGATTAACACGTTTAATTCATTCCATTCCAGATTGAAATTTACAACTGAAATAGGTGAGGGCAAATTAGCTTAATTAAAATAGGAAATTTTCTTATTCAAAGTTAGTACCACAAACCTACTTTTTCTGATTGTTATCTAAATTATTTTTCTAAACATCCTTTATGCCAAAAAGGAACAATCGTCGGTTTAATTGATAGAGTTCTTTCTCCTATCCTATATACCATCAAAAGAATTTTAAATTAATTATTAAAATCTTATGCAATGGATATCCACTGAAACTGATATTCTCTGAAATTAAAAATAAGTTGTCAAAAAAATTTAAACAATGGAACGGCCAGGGTAAGCCTACAGATAAGACAATGATAAAATAAATCATAAGTTTTTTACAATCCTCTTTATACCACATTTATCAGAAAAAAAAAATTTGTAAAAAAGACTGCGTAATACACATGGTATTAGGTGTAGTAAAAAGTCATCACGTTTTTTTAGCTCAAAGTTGTATATACAATATCTTCGTCAATAATGAATGAAATTCAAATTTAAAAAAAGGGTTTTAAAGCTTGAAATCTCTACTTTTAAAAGCTTATCACATTTTTTAAGTTTATATGAGTTTGATAATTTTTACATACCAAAAACTATTAGCTGAAAAAGACGAAAAATTTTCTTCTCACTTTGTGGATTTGTAACGTGTCCAAAACGAATTTGAGAAAATTTTCGATTACCTATCGTGAAAGCTTGATACTTTCCCTACAAAATCGTTTTTTTTAAATATTCCTACGACTTTTGATTACTGAGTTATCGCGGATTAAATAAAAGAATTATTTTGACTTTAATTGCTCATAACTCCATTAAAAATTGTCGTATCGTATAATTTAAAAAAGAGATTTTTAAAGCTGAAACTTTACTCTATTAAGATATATTTATATTGTTGGTAAGAAAGTAATTGCGGTTTTTACTGATAGATGTCTTTTAAAAATACGCGATGACTTTTTACTACACCTAATATATAAAGGAATTAATAATCTTAGAGGGTTCATCAGACGTCATAAAGATGTTCGTCCCAAGCTATCTCAACGTCATCTCGACGTCATAGACGTCGTAGATAATATTAATTGTCAAGATTGTGAAGCATCATATGTGGGCCAAACAGGTACCAAACAGGTGTTTGAAGACATGCATAAATGAACATAGAAATCACATAAATTGGAACACTACACAGCATTCCGTAATAACAGAACACAGAATTAGTTATTAATTTGATTGGGAAAATGTCAAGATATTAGACGAAGAAAAGGAATTTTATAAAAGACTGATTTTCTTTTGAATGACTACACA